GTCCTGTAGCTCAGCGTTTAGAGCATTTGCCTCGCAAGCTAGTGGACCCGGGTTCGATTCTTGGGCAGAGCGAAATGTTGGGCAACTTTCCTTACTCCTGTTTATGTAGCAGTAAGTAGGAACCCAGTTGTTAGTCGAATGGAGGAACGTTTTTCCGGTGATGATAATCCCTTCAAAAAATATTTTTAAAAATAATAATTTGGGCAAACGATCCACGACTGTTTGTGGGACATTGGTGTCCGCAATTAGCTGCTGAATTGTTTCGCCCACAATGTGCAGTCAATTCATTTTACAGTGATTGTTACGTAGTTAATATTGTTTTTTTATGCCTCTACATCAGTGGTGGCAACGTTTATGGTGTGGACATCAATCAAGAAATATTCAATCAAGAAAATGTATTTGTTTGGCCGACCAAAAAGATTGCCCACCACCTTCTGTACATCAATCATCAGAATGGTGTAACTGAGACGGAAAGGGTTTCAGTACAGTTACAGGTGAGACAATACGAGGGTAAATTGTGGTTGAGCTAATTTGGGCTCTTGCCCCAATTGGAGATTGGAAGGGGATGTGAAAGAGATTTTTAAGATTCTGAAGGGACAAAGGAAATAGGGAATACCTACAGTAAACCTTACATAAGTCATATCAACATCAATAACAACAATTTATAGTGCCTTTCACGTCAGGAGAACATCCCAAACTACTTGGGACCAGTTGGGACCACACATTTAACATGACTTATGCAAAGTATGAGTTATGTCAAGCTTGCATGGAATAGAAACTCTTGAACGAAATTGGGAAGATGTACGACTTAGACAATTATACGATTTATGCAGATCAGACTTATATGAGTGTTACTGAATTATGTCAGATGGGGAATGGGTAACAGACTCACAATGGTTAGCTGATGATTTGGGGAAAGGTTATACACATAGAACCTACGGCATTGAAACAGAACAATTATTACTTCCTGCTTCAACCATACATTCTCACCACCTTCAGGTAAAGATGTTCCTCCTAAACTCCGTCTTAGATCTGTCAGTGACTGTCAAATATTTGTGCTCCTTTATTATGGACTCATCTCCTGGATATAAAATCTGACCTGCCAAGTCTTTCCTGCTAGCTGGGTACATCCATCCTTAGTAATATATCCCAGTAAATCTATACTGTCCTCTCTCCAAAGATAGAATGCATTTCCTATAATATGACGATCAGAACTGTGTACAGAACTCCCCATGTGGTCTAACCAGATTTTATATAAATGTAACTTTACTTTACAAAACAAAAACAGAGAGAGCTGGGAACACTCAGTAGGTCAGGCAGCATCTATGGAGAAAGGAAAGTGAGTCACCATTTCTGGTCAGACAAAGGGTCGTGGACCCGAAACATTGACTCACTTTCCTTTCTCCATAGATGCTGCCTGGCCTGCTGAGTTTTACCAGCTCTCTCTGTTTTGTTTCAGATTCCAGCATCTGCAGTATTCTGTATTTTGTAACTTTATTTTATACACTATTCCCGTGGTCGTAAACCTTGGTCTCAATTTACATTCTTTATCGACTTGACCACCAAAGTGAATCTTCGTGTTTCTCTATATTAAGTGTTATCTGCGGCCTAGCTGCACATTCTGTAGCCTATTTATAGCTTCCTGCATCTTTTTTCCAAACCTGTTTATTATTCACCACCAGTGTCGTCTGTACGTTTCGACCTCAAACCTCATAGACCAGAGTCCAAATCATTACTATCCACCCCGGGGTATATCACTTCCTACTCCTCACCAATCTGAGTTTACTCTTACTCTTTTTAATCCATTCTGCTGCCTCTCCAATGGACGCCAGGGCTCCACAAGACTCCATCCGCCCCGAGTCTCTTAGGAGGCACTTTAACAAAGCCCACATCTACTGCATTCCCCTCGTCTGCTTTCTCTGTTGCTGCTTCACAAGATCTGTTCATTTTGTTCAAACGGGTCCTTCTGTTCATAAATCCACGCTGGCTGCTTTTAATTATTAGAAGGTGCAAAGGGCTTTTTTCACTCAAAGGATTGTGGCATTGCTATAAGTAGCTGTTGAGGCCACATGAACTCAAACATTCGGAAGGGAAACTGATAATGATCTGAGCTGTAAAGACATTACAGGATGTGGGAAGAGAGCTGGGAGGCGAGATTAGCCCTGCTCAGTCAGGAGTGCTCCCACCTCCGAGTCAGAGGTTATGGGATCAAGCCCCACATCGGTACTTTAAACACGCAGTCTAGGCTGACCCTCCAATGCTGTGCTGGGTGAGCGCTGCATTGTTGGAGGAGCCGTCCTTTGGGATGAGACGTTAAAACCAAGGCCCCAGGTATGTGCCTGTTCAGGTGGAGTTTCTCCCCCCACCCCATTGGTGTCCTGGCGAACATTGCCCCAGATAAAATCTGGTCACTCACTCCGTGGCTGTTTGTGAGACATTGCTGTGTGCAAAATGGCTGCCGCGTTCGTCCACAAAACAAACAGTCACTATACTTCCCAGTGAATCCTGTGAAGCGCTTTGGTGGCAGGGTCAGGCTCTATATCAAACACAAGGATTATTTAGTTTTAAAAGGTTGACGCAGAAGCCCAGGTTGGAGAAGCACAGACACGACTGGCCGAATGGCCTCTCGCTACTGAGAATGACGATGTTTGTGTGTGTGTGTGTGCGCAGCAGACAGGCGCTAAATAAAAAGCACAATCCTGCTAAACAACCAGATTGATATCGCTTACATCAGCCATTTCCATATCCCTGGAGGTGAGAGGCGCAGCTATCTGACAGCTCTGCGCTGCACACCCAGCCCTCAGTCAGCACTTTCACTACATGATAATAAAGTTACTTTTTAGCCAGAAATGAGCCAAGTCTCAGTTAGCGGGATTCAGCCACTGCTTGCTTTCTCTCTCTCTCTCCTCCTTCGGAGTCAGAAGGTGGTGGGTTTTAACCACCCCCCCCCCCCCCCACCACATTGGGGATTTTGAGCTCACAGTCTAGCTGATGTTTTTTTCAGGGGGAGGGGTTTATATTTAAAAAATGCTGCGTGCAATTGGCTGCTGAGTTTGCTATTGAGCTGATGCTCCAGTGCATGGGGGGAGGGGGGGGGCTGCATGGGGTGGGGGCAGGCACTGCATCACTGCCTTTCCGATGAGTCATTGAACTAAGATTCTGTCTGCCTGCTCGGGTGAATATTAAATGTGAATATTACAGATGCTGCCTGACCTGCTGAGTGTTCCCAGCGACTTCTGTGTTTGTATATGATGCAGACGGACGGACGTTGCTTGGGTTTAATGTCCGATTTGAAGGACAAGACCTGTGACAAGGCAGTGTTTCCCACTGGGTACTGGCCAGTGTGAGATAGGCTTTAACACAACAGGGAATCTCTGACATCCAACTCGTTGGATCCTAGACGTTTGGTGATCATTCAAAACTCTGTCGCCCGCATTCTCACCCGTAAGAAACTCCGCTCCCCGATCCCCCCAGTCCTGGCCAGACTGCACTGGCTCCTGTCCCAGAGAGGATCCACATCAAGATCCTCACCCTTGTATTCAAGTCCCTGCACTCCTCTGTACCCCCCGACCTCTCAGACCTCCTCTCCTCAAAACAGTACCCGTTGCCTTCGTTCCTCCGGGTCTGGGCTCCTCCTCGTCCTCCTCTCCACCCTCGGCGGCCATGCCTTCAGCCACTGTGCCCCGAGGCTCTGGAACTGCCTTCCTCACTCCCTTCGTCTCACTCCCTCCCTTCCCATTTTCAGGTCTCTGCTGAAGACCTTTCTTTTCGATGGTGCCTTTGGTCACCTTCCCCCCTCCCCTTGGCTCCTCCCCCTCCCCCTTGGCCCCTCCCCTTTAGCTCCACCCCTGGCTCCGCCCCCTCCCCTGGCTCCGTCCCGGGATCCGTTACTGTAATGCGCTCTGAGATGCCGTCAGGCGTGGAGAGCGCTATATAAATCCAAGTTGTTGTTGGTGAGATTGAGGAAGGAGTGAGATTCTTCATCATCTTTTTCATCTGATGCTTCCCCTCCACACCCCACCCGCGCCCCAACTCATTCTTGACCTACAAAGATGCTACGCAACACTACAGAAGTCAGCCGGGCTCCGTCACTCGCCCTCTCATCTCCGAGTTGTGGGTTTGAGCCCCACATCGGGACTTTGCAATGTGCAGAGAGGGGGAAGCTGCATCATCAGAGGCTCCATCCTTCAGATGAGGCAGTGGATGTTAAAAACCCATGGTACTATTGGAAAATGGGTGATTTTCTCCATGTCCGAGCCAACTAGCTTCCACCAGGTAAAATTGGTTACTCACCCCATGGCTGTTTGCGGGACATTGCTGTGTGCAAACCAGCTGCTTCATTCACCTGCAAGATACTCAGTCACGACAATTTCCCGCAATTACCCAAGAAGCACCCTTGGGAGCCCATTAGGGACTACAACAAAATAAAGGTCATTGTATAAAAATGGACCAACTTTTAACAGGTAGGATGGTCCTCACTGGACAAGCAAAAGGAAAGCTTGTAGGTCAGTTATACCAACGGCAAATTATGTGGTTTTAGCTGGTTAGACTCCGGCATTGGTTCTCTGTCTCACTGTTGTGGCAGGTGCTGCAGTTCAGCTGAGAGCAAGGATTCTTCCCACTCAACCCAGCAAGCTTAAGTCCGAAGGGTAGGATTGTCCGAGCTGGACAAGCAGCGGGAAGCTTACCAGACAGAACAATCAATAAGCTGTGCTTAGACTCCATCAGTTGCACCAACACACTCTGTGGGCCTCAAACAGTGTCCCACAAACAGTTGTGGAATGAGTGACCAAATTACGATTATTATTATTTTTGGAAGGATTATTATCCGTGGAAAGTGATCTGCCAATTGACTAACAACTGGGTTCCAACTTACCGCCAGTAAACAGAGGCGTGTCGAATAAGGGAACATGTGTTAGATTTCACCGTGCCCGTGTATCAAACCCAGGTCCTCTCGCTTGCTGCCCACCACGCTACCGGATGAAACAAACCCAAATTACCTGAATCTCCTCAAAGGACTCCTCAATGTTGGTGACGTGATGTTGCTCGTGGAAGGCGGGTTCGTCACAGAAGAAGCAGACTAGACACTTGTCATTCAGGCAGAACAGCTTGACTTTGTCATGGTCCTTGCAGGGGTAGGAGGTGCGCTGTGCCTGCAGGATAGCATCCAGGGGGAAGGCGCTGTATCTCTCCACGATGTTGGACAGCTTGAGGCTGGGTGAGAGCAGTGGGTCCTTGTAAGCCCGACGGCACTCGGGACAATCCCGGGTACAGTGGTCCTGCCGGCTCCAATGCTCAGTGATGCACTTACGGCAGAAATAGTGCTCACAGCCAAAGCTCACCGGGTCCTGGTACATACTCAGGCAGATAGAGCACAGCAGCTCATCCTTCAGGCAGCAAGCCATGGGTAACCTGTGCTGTGCCAGCAGCTCAGCCCAGCGCAGCTCAGCCCAGTGCAGCGCAGCGTAGCTCAGCCCAGCGCAGCTCAGCCCAGCTCAGCCCAGTGCAGCGCAGCTCAGCCCAGCGCAGCTCAGCCCAGTGCAGCGCATCTCAGCCCAGCGCAGCTCAGCCCAGTGCAGTGCAGCTCAGCCCAGTGTAGCTCAGCCCAGTGCAGTGCAGCTCAGCCCAGTGCAGCTCAGCCCAGTGCAGTGCAGCTCAGCCCAGTGCAGCTCAGCCCAGTGCAGTGCAGCTCAGCCCAGTGCAGTGCAGCTCAGCCCAGTGCAGCTCAGCCCAGTACAGCGCAGCTCAGCCCAGTGCAGTGCAGTGCAGCTCAGCCCAGTGCAGTGCAGCTCAGCCCAGTGCAGTGCAGCTCAGCCCAGTGTAGCTCAGCCCAGTGCAGTGTAGCTCAGCCCAGTGCAGTGCAGCTCAGCCCAGTGCAGCTCAGCCCAGTACAGCGCAGCTCAGCCCAGTGCAGTGCAGTGCAGCTCAGCCCAGTGCAGTGTAGCTCAGCCCAGTGCAGCGCAGCTCAGCCCAGTGCAGTGCAGTGCAGCTCAGCCCAGTGCAGTGTAGCTCAGCCCAGTGCAGCTCAGCTCAGCCCAGTGCAGTGTAGCTCAGCCCAGTGCAGTGTAGCTCAGCCCAGTGCAGCTCACACAGCTGTTCCTCCTCTCTCACTCTGAGTTGTTTCCTTGTTCCCCGTTTCTCTCCTCTGTTCCTTCCATTATTCTCTCTCTTTCTGTTCCTGATGTCTCTCTCCCTCGTTCCTCGCCCCTTATTCCCAGAGTCTCTCTCTCTCTCTCTCTCTGTTCCTCGTTTCTTTCCTTCTTGTTCCTGCTCTTTACTCCCTGACTGTCTCTCCTTCCCTCTCTGTTCCCGGTGTCTCTCTCTCTGTTCCCGATCAGTTTAATTCCGGGAAGCTCTCCCGGCGGCGCGCACCAATCACTGGTTTGTGGGGGGAGGGGATGGTTTGTGGGGGGAGGGGATGGTTTGTGGGGGGAGGGGATGGTTTGTGGGGGGAGGGGATGGTTTGTGGGGGAGGGGATGGTTTGTGGGGGAGGGGATGGTTTGTGGGGGGAGGGGATGGTTTGTGGGGGGGGGATGGTTTGTGGGGGGAGGGGATGGTTTGTGGGGGGAGGGGATGGTTTGTGGGGGCAGGGGATGGTTTGTGGGGGAGGGGATGGTTTGTGGGGGGAGGGGATGGTTTGTGGGGGGAGGGGATGGTTTGTGGGGGGAGGGGATGGTTTGTGGGGGAGGGGATGGTTTGTGGGGGGAGGGGATGGTTTGTGGGGGGAGGGGATGGTTTGTGGGGGGAGGGGATGGTTTGTGGGGGGAGGGGATGGTTTGTGGGGGGAGGGGATGGTTTGTGGGGGAAGGGGATGGTTTGTGGGGGGAGGGGATGGTGTGATGGAGGAGGCAGTACAGAGCTCTCTCTCCCCCTCTCCTCCCCGGACCCCGTACTCCACTCCACCCCCGGGGCCATTCCCCCTCCCCTCCTGCCCGTCAGCCCGGGGTCTGGTGGGGAGGGGGGGGACCCCCTGCTCTCAACGGACAGTGGTTCCGCTCAGTTTGGCTCATTGTTGTTGAAGCCTTGTCACGACTTTAGCATCAGAGCCACAGACACAGTCACTACACAGTGACATAAACACACAGTCACTACGCAGTCACTACACAGTCACACAATGACATAAACACACAGTCACTACACAGTGATATAAACTCACAGTCACACAGAGACGCAGTGATATAACAACAACAACTTGAGTTTACATAGCGCCCTCTGCGCGGGACAGTGTCTCAGAGCACTTTACAGTTTAGAATCCCGGGACCCAGTCTGGGGGAGGGGGAGGAGCCCAGGGGAGGGGGAGGAGCCCAGGGGAGGGGGAGGAGCCCAGGTGAGGAGGGGGAGGAGCCCAGGTGAGGAGGGGGAGGAGCCCAGGGGAGGGGGAGGAGCCCAGGGGAGGGGGAGCAGCCCAGGGGAGGGGGAGGAGCCCAGGGGAGGGGAGCAGCCCAGGGGAGGGGGAGGAGCCCAGGGGAGGGGGAGGAGCCAGGGAGGGGGAGGAGCCGGAGGGAGGGGGAGGAGCCCAGGGGAGGGGGAGGAGTCAGAGGGATGGGAGGAGCCCAAGGGAGGGGGAGGAGCCAGGGAGGGGGAGGGGTCAGAGGGATGGGAGGAGCACAGGGGAGGAGCCAGGGGAGGGGCTGGAGCCAGGGGGAGGGGGAGGAGCCCAGGGGGAGGGGGAGGAGCCAGGGGGACGGGAGGAGCCCAGTGGAGGGGGTGGAGCCAGGGGGAAGCCAGGGTGGGGGGAGCCAGGGGGAGGGGGGGGAGCCGGGGGGGTGGGGGGGGAGCCGGGGGGGTGGGGGGGGAGCCAGGGGGAGTGGGGGGAGCCAGGGGGAGTGGGGGGAGCCAGGGGGAGTGGGGGGAGCCAGGGGGAGCCGGAGGGGGGGGAGCAGGGGGAGCCGGAGGGGGGGGAGCCGGGTGCGGGAGCCAGGTGGGGGGGAGCCAGGGGGGGGAGCCAGGGGGAGGGTGGGGAGCCAGGGGAGGGGGGGGGAAGGTGACCAAAGGTGCGGTCGAAAAGAACGGTCTATAAACACAAGGGATAGCCACTCAGGGGACGCAGTGATATAAACACACATCACACAGGGACACAGTGAGATAAGAGGTGAAAGCCGAGGCTGTATCCACAATCACAGCCCCCACCCCTAGTCCCCACTCCAAAAAAACACAAAAGATTTAATTGCATGTGTTTACCATTTTGCTCACAAAATATACAGTCAATTCACTTTACCGTATATTCTGTGAAGCGCTTTCAGACATCTCAAATACGTAATAAGGCGCTGTATGAAATATAAATTAGAAGTAGTCAGGTTTTAGTTTGTTTGAAGACATTCCTTTAACTGACATCGCAGCCACTTCATCAAAGTGCTTTGCAGTAATTACTGACTTTTCATTTGTAGGCGGCTGATTTGCATACAGAAATGTGGCACGGATATCCAGCTCGTGAGTCACTCATTTTTATTGAGGTGGATTGTTGAGCAGGAAAACCAGGAGTGAAACCACACAGGAATCAAACCCAGGTCTTCTTGCTTGGGAGGCAAGTGCTCTAACCACTAAGCTACAGGACTCACATAGATTACGTAGGTTTTACACAGACTTTACAGCATGGAAACAGGCCACTCAGCCCATAACTGGTATTTATACTCCACATAAGACTTCCCCCACCACTCCTCACTCCCTCCGGTACCCTTCTATTCCCCTCTCCCTCTTGTGAAGGTCTAGCTCCCTCTTGAATACATCTGTACTACCTGATCAACCACCACTCCAGGCAGTGAGTTCCACAGACAATGTCAATAAAGAGGTTACTCCTAAATTCTTTGTTGGATCCCCTAGTCGCTTTCAACCACTACAGCCCCAAACCCTGGAAAACTCTCCCTTAATCCCTCCGCCTTGCTCCCTCCTTCCACATTCTCAAGTCGTGCTTAACAAGCTTCCTTCTTGACTGTGCTTATGGTCACCTCTCCCCTCCCCTCTACCACTGTCAGGCACTCTGGGACGCTATCTTGCATGAGGGGCGCCTGTGTGAATGCAAGTTTGTTGTTGTTGTTCTAACAACAGTATAGGCAGATTGTTGCTGTTAGCTTATACTTGTGTCCCCTGGTTACGGACTCCTCAACCATTCCGAACACCTTATTTATGCTAACTTTATTGAACCCTTTTACAATTTAAAACGCCTCTTATACATCTCTTTTATAAACAAAAGCCCAACCTGTCCAGTCTCTCCTGATAACAACAACAAATTACATTTGCACCTTTCACGTCGGGAGGAAGTCCCAAGGCTCTGATGGCAGTAGCTGCAGACTGCATTGTTGGATGTGCTCGAGACTGTTTGTGGGACTTTGCTGTTAAATGGCCTCACAGCTCTCAATCTCACTCTCTTCCCTGCAGAGTAACCACTGGCCACATAATACCACTGAGGTTAGCAGATCTGCCTATATGCTACCGAGACAGGGTGTCCTACAAGTCTTGTGTGCATGCAGAGAAGGTTGAGGGGAGATTTAAGAGAGGTGTTCAAAATTAGGAGGGGTTTTGAAAGAGTGAATACGGAGAAACTGTTTCCCCTGGTGGGTGGGTCGATTACCAGAGGACACAGATTTAAGATAATTGGCAAACGAACCAGAGGGTAAATTTTTTTTACCCAGAGAGTTGTTATGCTCTGGAATGCGCTGCCCGAAATGATGGTAGATAAATACGCGTCACTCCACTTTACAGTAAATTCTGTGAAGCACTTACAGATCTCCACGCAATTTGAAAGGTACTGTATTGAATATAAGGAATTATTATTTTATGACACGATTCCCAGTTGATAATTAGTCTGGGCTGAGTTAGGTGCTCTCTCTAGCGGCCATTGCAAGAAATGCCAACATTATGCATTAAAGTGAACAACATCACAATCATCCTCACATTTGATGTATCTCCTTTCACGTCAAGAAATTGTCTCAAAGCGCTTCACAGGATTTACTGTAAAGTGTAGTGACTGAGTAATTTTGTAGGTGATTGCGGTCACAAATTGTACCCTCAAAAAAGTCCAACTATGAAACAAATGATCAGTTTTTTTTGGAGACAGTTGGCCAGGACATCAATTTACCAGAATGATACCAGGGATTAGGGATTATTATTATTATATTATATTATTATGTTATGTGGAGAGACTAGAGAGACTGGCCTTGTTCTCTTTAGAACAAGGCCAGAGAAGGTTGAGAGGAGATTTAATAGAGGTGTTTAAATTATGAGAGGTTTTGATAGAGTAGATAGGGAGAAACTGTTTCTTCTTGTGGGTGGGTCAGTAACCAGAGGACACAGATTTAAGAAAATTAGCAAAAGAACCAGAGGGGAGATGAGGAGAATATTTTTTACAGAAAGTTACAGTCTGGAGCGCATTGCCTGACAGGGTGGTGGAAACGGATTTGATAGTAACTTTCAAAAGGGAATTGGATAGGTACTTAAAAAGGAAAAATGTTCAGGGCTATTG